GATCAGGGAAAGCAAAGCATTTCACTGGAACCTGGTGGTCAATTTGAGCTTAGCGGTGCACCTCTTGAAACTTTGCATCAAACTTGTGCTGAAGTCAATTCACACCTTTATCAGGTAAGTTAGAATATAATTATTGCCAATATTCCTACTTTCAAAAGCGTCAAACAACCAAACTCTCTATGGATGCTAACAGGTAAAAGCTGTCGCTGAAGAAATGGGAATTGGTTTCTTAGGAATCGGCTTCCAGCCCAAATGGCGCCGGGAAGATATACCCATCATGCCAAAGGTATGAGTCTTTCTCTATCCTTAATATCGAAAAAAAAACTATGTTCTTTAAGTTTGTAAGTCAGATAAGACTATCTGGTTCTACATGGCCAACGTTCTGTGCTTTTTATTGGTGTTTCTATTACGTCTGATCATGTTTTAAGCGACGACGGATCTAGCTATAATTTTTGACAAAATCTGTTCTGTGCAGGGGAGATATGACATTATGAGAAACTACATGCCGAAAGTTGGTACCCTTGGACTTGATATGATGCTTAGAACTTGTACTGTTCAGGTTAGATGAATATTCAGACTTTGTGAGACTTTAGAATTTCACATAACAAAACTTTTACCGCCTTTCTATTATCTTGGGTTGAAGCTTATAGAAACTACCTAACATGCATTCTTGACAGGTTAATCTGGATTTTAGCTCAGAAGCTGACATGATTAGGAAGTTCCGTGCTGGTCTTGCTTTGCAACCTGTGAGAATCTCGAGCTCATGGCCTAATCGGAATCTTTTTATTAAACAAATTTCACTAACTATTGCCTCAATATTATTCAAATTTAACAGATAGCAACAGCTCTATTTGCAAATTCCCCTTTTACAGAAGGAAAGCCGAACGGGTTCCTCAGCATGAGAAGGTTTCTAGCTTCAATTGTTATTATCCCCAAATTCGTTTAATTACTTTTCCCTCCTATGTTATAACTCTGGTATGTTTGACAGCCATATATGGACAGACACTGACAAGGATCGCACAGGAATGCTACCATTTGTTTTCGATGACTCTTTCGGGTGAGTATCAAATTGTTTATCGTAGAACAAAGATCGCATTTCATCAGTTTGTTTGATATGAGGAGCTTGTGGAAAAAATAAAGACTCTGTTTGGCATTCTTGATGGCTTATGGAAATTTGCTGTGCTGTTCTGTGAATTTTCCTACATTTACAGATAGAATGATGCGTTGGTCTTTTACATTTTATGAAATAGCTTGGCTAATCTTAATTCTACTACTTTTTCTTTTGTTATTATCTTGTATAGGTTTGAGCAGTATGTTGACTATGCACTCGATGTCCCTATGTACTTTGCCTACCGAAACAAGAAATACGTCGACTGTACTGGAATGACATTTCGGGTCAAAATCAATCCTTTATCTTTTCTGTTAGATTCTTTAACTCTTTCCAGTCAAAGGGAATGAAAAATCTAAAACCATGGGATTTTCTTGAGCCATTTCTAAATCTCATCATATTCTTCATCTTGCAGCAATTTTTGGCTGGAAAACTTCCTTGTCTCCCGGGTGAACTGCCTACGTATAATGATTGGGAAAATCATCTGACAACGATATTTCCAGAGGTTTATCATCTACCTCATGTGTCCATAATTTAGCCAATGACTTTCAGTTCCCTGTCTTATGTTGAAGCCTGACGACATTCCATAACGTTAATAGGTTCGATTGAAGAGATACTTGGAGATGAGAGGTGCTGATGGAGGTCCCTGGAGGAGGTTGTGTGCCCTACCAGCTTTCTGGGTAATTCCTTGTATTAGCTTCTTGAGTTGGTTTCATGATGAAACTCAAGACTACAAGAAATATTGACGGTTGTTTTGATCTTGTTGGCAAATTTCAGGTGGGTTTATTATATGATGAGGATACTCTCCAAGCTATCCTGGATCTCACAGCTGACTGGACCCCAGCAGAAAGAGAGATGCTAAGGAACAAAGTAAATACCGAGACACGCCACATTTATACTCTCCTATTCCACATCCTTGTTTAAATTAATACTCGGTTTGTAATAGGTTCCAGTAACTGGTTTAAAGACACCGTTTAGAGATGGCTTGTTGAAGCATGTCGCTGAAGATGTCTTGAAGCTCGCAAAGGTGTGTTTGTGTGCTTAACTCTCTTCGAAAACTTCAACCCAACTTTACTACTATCCGGTCTATTCCAGCGCCTAACTATAAATAATATATTTGGC